TCTCTCTCTCTTTCTTTTTTGGTCTGAACCAATATGATTTGAGGAAGAAACTATATATATCAAGAAGTAATGACAGCTGAAACTAGATTGTTTCAAAAAAAAAAAAGTGACTTCAGCGACTAACCTGTTGTTATTCCTGTAATCTGGAGACCAAAATTCAACTCTCTGAAACATGCTCATGAAAAACATCTACTGACTAGCTGCTACTACTTTCGATTTACACCCCAAAAAAAAAAAAAAAAAAAGAAAAAAAAAGGGGTATTTCTAGCATCAAGTCCTCCTGAAGAAACAGAAGCAGGTACTTGTTGATGTGTCTTTAATGGCCTCTAACATTGTGACTACTTCTTCCATCTCTGGTCTGCTATTAGGATCTGCATTCCAACACTTCCTCATCACGTTGGCTAGTGCTCTCGGACAGTCTCCGGGAATGTCCGGTCTCATAGCCCGTCGGATACCGGGGGAAGTGATCAATCTTGACAATCTTGGTAAGCTTAGGTTGCGGTAAGATGAGTTGCAACTGCATATCTCCCACAAGCAAATTCCAAAGCTGTATACATCGCATTTTCTATTGTACGGTTTGCATTCAATCACCTGCATGCCATTAAATTTAACTTTAGAATTATGAATTTAAATAAAACTCATTATAATAAAATGAATGTACATAGTTTATCATCCTAATATGTAATTTATAATTTAGCCTACTAAACATAAATGGTTAAATGAAAGAAGATTTTTAATATTAAGGAACTCATTTATTATCTAATAATTTTTATTATATAGTTTGATATAATTTAAATTCAATAATTTTTTGTTTTGTGATATGTAAAATGTAAGTACCTCAGGGGCCATGTAACCAACTGTGCCTGTGCTGCCTGTCATCTCATCAGGGTTTAACGATTCGCCACGAGAAACATCAAAATCAATTATCTTTAACCTAAAATTTTCATCGAGAAGTAGATTTTCTGTTTTTACGTCTCTATGTACAATCTTCTTAGAATGAAGATAACTCAACCTGGGAAAAAAAAAAAAAAGGGCAAAATCAGTGATTTCATTTATCCGAATAAAAAATAATTAATTTCTCATAATCTTATCTCACAAAAAAAAAGAATTATAATACTCTTTTCATCAGGTAATATGCATCTATTTGTTTAAAAATTTATATTTATTTTAAAATTTTTATTATGAGATAAAATTATAGGCTAATCAATAATAAGAATTTAAATTTAGTTTTTTTTGAGATAAGATTGTAGGTTAATCAAAACAGATATTTGAATCTAAGTTATTAGAACTAGAATTAATCAACTGTAAATTCTGGCTAAAGAGAAAACAGAATTGGGAAAGGAGTTTGACCCTCTAGCAAGATCTAGTCCAAGTTGAATGACAATCTTGAAAGGCAGCTTCCTTTCCCGGTTCTGTTGAAGATAAGATTTCACACTACCTCCACAAAGATACTCAGAAACAATACAACAATTAGTAGAATCCATTTTAGCACCTATAAGCTGCGCCCAAAAACACAAATGTTAATTATGATAAGCATAAATCTTTAATAAATAAACAAAATAATAATAATAATAAATCAATCACTAAATAATGTGTTTGAATTCACTTGATAAGTTTTATATGAGTATACAATTCTCCATGTGGTTCAGTGGTGGCCACGTTACCTTTTGGGCAGCAGGTGGAATACACGATGATTATGAATTCGACTTTCCCAAAAAATAGATACTAATTAACTTAACCTAGAATTTCTTATTGTAAAAAAAATAAAAAAAGTCTTATATAAGTATAAGAATCAATGATTTACCATACATTACTAAACAGCCTAGATATATACATCTCATTTTTCGTTCTTACATAAATAAAAGATCAAGTGTTCAAAGGAGTGCTATGATCATTGCAATTCAAGGGTGTTAATTTTATAATAGTATAAAATTAATAATTATTGAAAGTATTTAAATTCTTAATAACATGAATTACCTTAGCAATGTTAGGGTGATCAAGCTTATGCCAAACGGAAACCTCCTTCATGAATGCTGCTTCGACTCTAGACCTTTTGCTTTCCTCTCCCCACTCAAGCACTTTCACTACATCAAATATTCCAAATGAAATTAAACCCCATAAAAACAATGAAAAGAGAAAATTTTTAGCATACTATTCGGTGTTATTCCTCACCGGCAACGTCTTGGCCGTCGTAAACTCCTTTGTATACAGAAGCGTAAGTACCACTAGCGAGGGCAACATTGACGGTCAGCTTATCGGCGTCAATTTCCCATTCCCTAAGCTTCATCTGTTTCTCTCTTTCTTTACGTTTCTGCATTATCCAGAGTCGATCGAGTTGCTCGTCCATCTTCTTCAGATCTATCTTCTCCACTCTCGACAGTCCTCCTCGCCGGCTGTCCTCCATGATCTCCGATCACGTCGACAAGCTAAAGACGAAAAGAAGAAAATACTTAAACGAAACTCTTCTTTATAATAATTATTATCAGTTTTGAAGAGGAGAGATGATTGAGGAAAAGGAAGATAAATGTTTGGAGATTGGAGAACCGTGCGGGTTTCTTGTATAAGAGAGCGCAGTTGCAATAGTCCTGGGAGGACTCTGTATTTTGGATTTTTCCTATTTCTTGACTAACTGTGTCTCCTGTATGCAAGCAATACTTCCATTGTTAAAATCAACATGGAAAAAAAAAAATCCCAAAAAAAATTAGAGTTGTGATTTACGGAAAAACTAATTTAGAGATATTAATTGTCCAAAAATTATAATTTTTTTTAAAAAAATATTAAATCTATAAAACCTCAGGTTGTGGGTAATTTAACAAAAATTTAAACACTCAATAATAATCTTTTTTAATCTCCTATTCAAATTATAAAACCCAAAATCTTCTTTTACAAAATCTCCTATTCAAATTATAAGTTTAAAATTTAAAAGGTATCTTCCTCACGTAAAATAATAAAACAGATAATTTCATATTATCTCTGTTTGAAATGTTTTTATATATATATATATATAGAAAAAAAAAAAAGTCAACAGAACTCGGTTTCAAAATTATTATCACGTTTGGACGAAATAACTTGAACCCGTTTTTTCTAAGCAATCAGCAATGCCAAGTCCTAATTTCTAAACAAAATTTCCATCTTTGTTTCAAATTACAAGTCATCGTTTGGACTTTTATTTACTATGCATAATTTTTCTACATTACTTTCTGCATACTCCAGAAGAATTTGTCTCAGGCATCAGGCAGGGGCAGTCCGGAGCCGCTTGCTGCTTCGGACAAATTTGCCAAATTTAAAATCAATGACTTGTTGGTTCGAGTGATAGGAACTTAATTCTTTTTAAATAAGATCTTAAGTTTGATTCTTATAAATGAGAAAAAACAGATGCTGAGAAATTTTCATTTTATGAGATCCGATATGACTTAATTATGAATTAATCAAGATCCAATTTAATTATTAGATACTAGAGGGTAGTATAAAAAAAATTCTGCCAAATTTGATAGGAAAATACCTTAAAGTTGGTCAGAAATAAGTATGTATCAAATTACTTTAAAGTTGGTCAGAAATCAGTATACCTACTGGAAATGATTTTGGAATAATTTTTTTGTATTATTTTTTTTATACAATTTAACGTGTCATTTAAATGATTGATTCTTTTAATTTATGTGAGATCCATAATATTAAATGCATCATCTCATTTAATGACATATGAAAATTGTATAAAAGGTGATATTAAAAAATTATCCCTATGTTGACCAAAAAATAAAAATTATCCCTATAAAAATGCCCTAATTACTATGTTCTACTCCCTTTGTCATGTTCAGATTAAGGATTTGAACACAATATATATATTTACTTATTCTATTTTCAAAGAGAACAATGGAAAAGGTGATATTAAAAAATTATCCCTATGTTGACCAAAAAAAAAAAAAATTATCCTATAAAAATGCCCTAATTACTATGTTCTACTCCCTTTGTCATGTTCGGATTAAGGATTTGAACACAATATATATATTTACTTATTCTATTTTCAAAGAGAACAATGGAAAGGAACTCCCATTGTACATGCTCTAAGGATCTATTAAAGAAACAAAGTCTTACCAAAAAGAAATAGAAGGAAAAAGATGGTCCCAAGAATTTTGTGATTTCGTGGGCCAAAGAAGGGGGAAATTTTTTCTGATTTCCCGTATTCATGGTAACACCAATACAACCATTCACTTATGTACTACCAGTTTGCTACTTCAAAGCATTACAGGATTAAATGGTCTTCTAATTGAATTCAGATGATGCTTATGTTTCATCTTCCCGATTAGATTAGGCTGCTAGATCGGTTTGATGCAAGAAATCACGCAGGTACGTTTAGAGCCGTTTTGAATTGCTCTGGAATGCGGAGTAATGGGGCCTGAATTGTACCAGGCTTGCCAAGCTGACCACATGCAGCCATCTGATCATCACCTCGACTTGGTCTCAAGAAAACGGTACAACCACCTTGAGTTAAAACGTTTCTGAACTCGATCATCTTTTCATCACTGCTTGGTCTAAACTGGGATCCACAATGAGAGTTGAATGAGATGAGATTGATCTTGCATGGAATGCCCTTAACAAGATCAATCAACCTCCTTGCATCCTCCATGCTGCAGAAGAAAAAAGGATGGTCAATATCAAACGCCTAAACAAAAACAGGTGGCTGATGAAAATAAATAGACAGGGCAGGCAGTTTAATTTTGAATAAGAATTTCCAAGTGAAAATGTTCTGACTATGGCCATTAAGAAAGTTAAGCAGAAGGGTGGAGTGATGATAGCTGAAACAAGTAATAAAAAGAAGTTACACCACCATGGATTTAACAGTCAATCTACAAAACTAGTGTCTTGAAACATTTTAATGGAGTTACAAATCAGCATCAGATATTTAACAAAGTCAGCCAATAAACAAGAAAGTGTTTTATGAAGTACAATCCTGGACCCTTTATTTTAGAGAAGATGTACATGCAGTGTACGGAAGGCATGGTGGACCCATCAGCTTCAGATATTTAAAATGCAACACCAAGAAAAGCAACTGATAGATGGAGCAGTTTGGCAGCCTATATCTTTTGTAAATTGAAACATACTCGTCTGAGCTCTGATTTTAAATATAAGACCTGCTTAATGTTCCTCTTTAGTGACCTAAATGTCAAAGAAACGTGCTAGCCTCTCCATTCTCCAAAGAAAAAGTTACAGTAACCTTGGGTTCATGGAGGCTAATGCAAGTGCAGTAACATATTAACATTAACCACTCCAGCCCAAATCCCAGTCACAACTCTTTTAAGTTTAAAGTGGGAGAGTCATTATGTATAATATAATGCCAAGTATGCAATATGATAAAAATTGTACAACGTAATGAGCCTCACAAAAGACGCACAGGGGGGAAAGTTTATCAAACCTGTCATTTATTCCAGCAAGCATTACATATTCAAATAGTACTTTGTAGTTACTTTTGAACCTCAGTTCTTCCCGGAGGGTCTCAAGAAGCAAGCGTAGCTTGTACTTCCGGTTAATTGGCATAATCCAATTTCTAACCTGCATAATTTGGTCGAGAAAGTAGTCACTAATCTTCTATGCCTCAGTGTCCTCTCTTTCCACACTTGTGCAGAGAGAGTCTGGAAAGAATAAAGGTAGAAGTTAAGTACCTCATCAGTTGTAGCATTCAAACTAACAGCCAAGGCACAATTGGACTCGTGAAGAAAGCGTTTCAACTGAGGAACAAGCCCACTAGTAGAAATAGTGACCTTTCGAGGACTGAAGTGAAGACCCTGTTCATGCACCATGATGTCAGCAGCTTTTATCACATTTTCAACATTATGAAGTGGCTCTCCCATTCCCTGCATATTGACAACAGCAGTTAGAAAATACAACTTCCACTGGAAATTTTACTTTACGGCTAAAAATCAACCTTACAAATAACTAGGCCAAATAACAGAAACATGTGATGGAGAAAACCAGAACAAGAATATTATAATGCACACTGTCCAATACATCATGTCATTCAGATCTAACAATTGGAAGCCTACCAAGCCGAAACATGATGAGCTACATCTATTTCATCATTCAAGGTTAATAACAAACTGACAATCTGCCATAAATATGCACCTACCATAAACACAACATTTGTAATGGGACCAACATCACTTGAAAGCAATCGCTGTGCAAATACAGCCTGCTCTATGATCTCCGCAGCAGTTAGATGTCTCCTCAAACCCATCCTACAATCCAATATGCATCACAGACTTAGGAATGACAACCAAAGATAATACACTGCAAACTAAAATGAGAGAATCAAACTTGCCTGCCAGTATAGCAGAATTGGCAGTTCATGGCACAGCCCACTTGACTTGAAACACAAACAGTATTTCTGCCTCTATCACAGGGTATTACAACTGTTTCTATTACCAGTCCATTGTCCAATGTGAATAAAATCTGCAACCTCCTGTGCAAGTTTCAAAATCAATGAGAGGATTTTTAAATAATGCAGCTAGTGGAACATACTATCATGAGGTTTTATCAACATTATAAATGCCCAAAAATAAGTGCATAATGTAATCCAACTGCAAATAATTGCACATAAAATTCAAAAAGATTATTTCTACCTTTCTAGTTCCATCAGAGGCAATTAGAATATCTTTCAAAGATAGTGCCTTGAATGTAGCATGTTCACTCAGCATTTTCTTGAAATCTTTGTTTAAACCTAGACAAGGATGGTCAACAGTCAACAAAGAATCATGGTAGAGTTTACAATTGCTATGATAACAAAAACATTAGAGAAAATTATATCATATTACTTAAATACAAGATTACAAACTCGAAGAATCAACCATCTTTTATATTGATTGAGATGAAAAGGTTATAAATTTACCTTCTAGTTCATCAACATTATGTGCCCAAATGTCATTTCCATAGAGGCGCTTCCATAGCATCAGGGCCTGACCTGACCTGAATCCATGTGATTGAACCCATTCCTGAATAGGGAAGAAACAAATCCCAAAAATCATTAGTAAATTTAAAACTAAATAATACAAAAAATAAGATCATCCATATTACACAAAAGCAAATATTTCACAATTCCGGGCTTTTCATTTAAAAGAACAGAGCAGGTAATACATACTTCAAGTTCAGGATAAGTCATTCCTTTGAGAAGCACCTTTGAACCCTTATCTGGATTCTCATACACTTCTCC